TTAATTTTTTATAAATGGAGATTGCGGGAAACAAATATGCTCACTTTTCTAGGTCCTTCTCTGGCTTCCTCTGGAGCTTAGTGATCAGGGCTGGGAGATCTGCGCCTGGCCAGGTCACGTGTCTGTCCATGCCCCTGTGTCTTTACCACCGAAGCCTGGACCCAGTGTCTCACTGACACTACTCCCTGCTTCTCTCATCCTAGATCACGTTTGGTTTCCAGAACTCTCACAGTTGGGCATGTTTTGGTTGCTGGTAACAGAAAAGTCGACTTGAACTGGTCTTCACAATAAAGAGAATTTATTGGCTCATGGAATTGAAGTACAGGGAGAAGATGGCCTCTGGGCCTGGTTTGGTCAGGACTCCAGCTTCGTTTCTCTGATTCTCTCGGCTCTGCCTTCTTCTGTGTGTTGTGCTGTTTTTTTTTTTCCCCTTGCCATTTATGGTAGCAAAATGGCTGCTGGCCGCAGCAAGACTACATACTTGCTTTTCCACATTCATTGAGCAAACATCTGACCTTTGCTCTCACCAGACCATCTTAGTTCCCAGACTCACTCCCGGAGCCTGTTGCTGTGGTTATGATGACGTCACAGGGGAGAGAGGAGAAACCTCCTTCTACACCCCTTTCCCCTACTTTGATCCCAGATCCAAGTGGATTCTTCTGGAGGAATGAGAAGGGATGCTTAAGCTGGTACAAGGCTGATGCAGGGACGAAACAGATGTTCTTGCAGCCATACTGTGTGTTGTTCACGTGGTCTGTGCAGAAGCCGCCATGATTGAAATAGAGTGGTAAGAAGATGTCACCCAAAGAGATGCCACATTTTGCCAGTTGACTGGCATTAGGGCTGCACCTGTCACAGCTTTCTTTGTGGCATTGAGAGCTCAACATGGAATGAAAAAAATGCTTTTACAGCAGGAACATTCTAGGCCGTTTTAAGAGGGCACAGGTATAAGTGGGAAGTGAGGTATAGAAGATAGGTCAGGTGGGTTGACTTGCTGGAACATTTTCAAGTGGGTAAATTTTATTCTGAACTTATCTGTATGTACTTTCTCCCTCCTTCAGTGAAATGCTCTCTTCTAGCCGGGTGCAGTGGCTCATGCCTGTAATCCCAGCACTTTGGGAGGCTGAGGTGGGCAGATCACCTGAGGTCGGGAGTTTGAGACCAGACTGACCAACACGGTGGAACCCCATCTCTACTAAAAATACAAAAAATTAGCCGGACGTGGTGACGCATGCCTTAATCTCAGTTACTTGGGGGGCTGAGGCAGGAAAATCACTTGAACCCAGGAGGCGGAGGTTGCAGTGAGCCAAGACTATGCCATTGCACTCCAGCCTGGACAAGAGCGAAACTGTCAAAAAAAAAAAAAAAAAAAAAAAAAAAAAAAAAAATCTCACTCCTATTGCAAAGCAAAAGGTTCTTTCCACTCCTGTCCTCCAGATGCAACTTCTCCTGCAGATGCCAGCATCGCTGCTGCCCCCACCACACTCATGCAGTGGGCTGCTCCCCCTTTACTCCCAGGGCTCCAGGAGACCAGATCCTTCCCTAAACCCTCAGTGATTCCTTGAAATCAACTGATATCATGCACGGACTTTTGCTGAGGGCTTAGGAAAAGCAGAAGGGAATTATACACTGAGAAGAACTTAACACTGGATATTAAATATACCTGCTCTTGGCCCTGGTCTTTCTCAAGGGGTGTCTTGCAGTGGCCTCCCTATCCGGTGACTGCTGCCCCCTTGTGGCAAAAACTATCCTTCTCCGTCCTCAGGATTGCTCTTGAGTGTGGGCAGGTGTTTTGCAGTCTAGGCTCTCATCTCTTTTCTCCTGTGTCTCCAGTGACCATTTTCTGCCCTTGGGGCTGCCTTTTCCCTAGATGATTAATAGAGAGAATGTCTCCTACCTTCTGGAACTACCTCATCTTTGACTCCTTTCTAGTCCAACATCAGTAATAGCAAATCATGAGTGGCTATTGTCTCCTTACACTTCCTATTACTGTTTACAAATGATAAAAGAGCTCAGGAGGAGAGCACAGCTTAGCTTAAAAAATAGGTTTGTAGGCTAGGCATGGCGGCTTATGCCTGTAATCTCAGTGCTCTGGGAGGCAAAGGCAGGAGGATCACTGGAGGCTAGGAGTTCAAGATCAACCTGGGTAGTATAGCAGGCCTTTCACTACAGAAAAAATAAAAAAAATAGCCAGATGTAGTGGCTCTTGCCTGTAATCCCAGCTACTCAGGAGGCTGAGGTGGGAGGATTGCTTGAGTCCAGGCGTGTGAGATTGCACTGAGCTACGATCGCACCACTGCACTCTAGCCTTGGCAACACGGTGAAAGCCTGTCTCTGAAAAAAAGAAAAAAAAAAAAACCCCCAAAAAAACGGCTTGCCAGTGGCAGAACTGCAGGAATCCAGGACATGCTGAATTTGGCATGTGCGGTAGGGCAGGATGTGTGCTTGCACAGGCTGGCACTAGCTCCAAACTTCAGAGGGAGTTTGGGAAGAAACAATGCGAGGCAGACCAGCTGGGCTGCGTGGAAGTGAAGCTATCAGGCATACCGGTGGTTTTAGTGTGTAGCCAAAAGCGATAGACACTGAATTGTCGTGGTGACGCACGGTCCATGAATCACGGGAGAAACATCTCCTTTCATTTACTCTTACTCCACAGCCATTGATTGAGGACTTACTATATTCCCTGAAAGAGAACACAAACATGAATTGCTGTCTCATAGCTCAGAGGGCTGACTAGCAAACTTCTCATCGCAGCACAGTAGGGTTCAGGTTCTATGGAGAAGTGACGAAGGTGCCAGAAGACTCAAGCAAGGGGACACCATTAGCTGCTGGACGCAGCTAAGGTGAGTTCCCAGAGAAGCCGTCTTTCATTACTGAGATGGGGAGGACCCGGGAGCTTGACCCCAGCTCTTCCATTCGTGGACTACCCCAGCTCTATGGACTCTCTGTTAACCGGCCAGACTCCAGAAGTGACCTACGCTTGCAGCCTCAGAGCCATTTAATTCAACTGGTCATTGGCAATGGTTGTGCAAAAGAGTGGCTGGCAAAAAGGAAGGGTTTGTGTTCCCTTCAAATTCTCACCAGGCTGCCTCAAAGAAGCCTGCAAAATAAGCAGAGATGGTGTGCCTGCTGTCCAAGCAGCTCGAGTGCAGGACTCCTTCTTCCCGCCAGATTGCCCTGAAGTCCCTCCTACAGGGGACTCCTTCTGAAATCTCTGCTGTAAATCGAATCCTTTCCCCTTTAATCTTGTCAGGCAAGTTGCAAGCTTTCATAGGTGATCTACTAGGGAATTTAGGAATAAACACATGGAAGTAAATTCAGGAAAAGGAAGAGAATAAAAATGATCATCCACAGAGTGGAGAATTCAGATAATGCACCCTCAACCCCAGCTTCACACCTGGGGCCCCCGCTTAGTCATATGGACCCTGGAAATCTCTGATACCCTGTGATCCCTTGACTTAAACTGTTCTTCCCCAAATGTAGACATGGGAGGGGCTCGGGTGGGGCTCAGAAGGGAAGTGTCGTCTGATGTGGTTTCCTTATTTCCCTTTATTCATCAAGTGCCCTCTAACTGTTAAGTCACTCTGATCTCTGACTGTAGTTCCTCCGGTTGGACACACCTGGCCAGTGCCTCAGGTAGGAAGCCACTTCTGTTTGCTACGACTTTCTCTGGGGTAGGGTGGCTTGGCTTGACTTTATTTTGGAAAATGTGTTCATTTCCGTAGGAGCTGAGGATTTCTGCTCCCCCTTCTCTCTTGTGACCGCTCCTCCTACTTGGAGGTGGCAGGTGAAGAGGACCGCCTCCTCGTCCCCTCTTTTTATGCCTCGCCCTTTTGTGGGAAGAGGCGGACAGTTCCCCAATTTGATGTTTGTTGCTTTACCTTAAGACTTTGTCTTTGGTGAAAATGCAAATACTGGGAGGGAGGGAGCATGCTGAAATGTGTGGATCTGAGTGACTCATCCTAGACCCTCAGACCTGGAAGCAAGTGAGAGGTGGACAGCTCTGTCTTCCTCAATTTGCAGATGAGAAGACTGAAATCTGTAGGGGTAGGGACCCCACTCAAGGTCACGAGACTTATTAATGGTAGAATCAGGATACAATGAGAATTAGATGCTAGGTGTCCTTACAACCAACCTGGGTGACTTTTCAAAGGTTTTCAGACTGTTCTCTGGAGAGCCCTGGAGCTTTGAGGGTCTCTTTAGGGGCCATTGGGGTTGGGAGATTAGCGCACTCTACCCCACTGTGGCTTCTGGGAAGATTTTATTTCAGCAAAATGTTTCACAATAGGAAATATTTGAAAACTCTTGACTGATTCTGGATTTTGTGGAGGGTGGAGGGTTTCAGGCACCAAGATGGAGGCTTTATGACTTTGTCTTCTCAAATGCTTAAAACTCCTTTAGACAGAGGAGCAAAATGTGTGCCGCCTATTTAAAGACAAGGCTTAAAATATACAGTTTAACGCAATGTGTTGTTATCACTTCCTTCTCCCAGTAGATTTTAAGAAGGATAAACAAGAATCAGGGAGAAAATAGAAAAGAAAATAATGGAAGGGGCCACCTGGGAACGGGTTTGCTTTCTTGCCTTCTCCTTAATGCTGGCCCTTCCCTGAATGTCCAAGACCAACCTGGTCCCCCGATCTGAATGCAGAGACACCGCTGAGGGTGGAGAAGACTAAAGAGGGACAGAGGTAGAGACGTAGACAGAGAGGAGGCAGTTGTGGGCTGAGCTAGGGCTCAGGTGTTTTCCCCATATTCCATCTTACCCCATACTCAGGCCAGGCCTTGGAGCTGTGGCAGGTGGAAAGCCAACCTCTAAAGAAGCCCAGGTTGGAGGTAAAGGAGGATGTGGACCTCTGGTTGCCAAACCAACAGGGTAGCAAAGGACACACCAGTGACTGCGCTCACATCCTTGATGAGAAAGCCTTGAATCTGAGCTACTAAATCATTTCCTTCTTTCTAACCTTCCAGCTAGATCAAACCTGGCTGAAACTGAAGGAAACATGTGGAATATTACAGACCCATGGATGTGGTTTGACGACCTTTTAAATTCCACTGGCATGCCACCTCTAGAAGAAGATTACAGCCCCTGTGAGGTAGAGACTGAGACACTCGACAAGTATGCTGTGGTCGTCACCTATGCCCTCCTGTTCCTGCTGAGCCTGCTGGGAAATTCCTTGGTGATGCTGGTCATCTTATACAGCAGAGGTCAGCCGCTCTGTCACCGATGTCTACCTGCTGAACCTGGCCTTGGCCGACCTGCTCTTTGCCCTGACCTTGCCCATCTGGGCTGCCTCCAAGGCGAATGGCTGGATTTTTGGCACACTCTTGTGCAAGGTGGTCTCGCTCCTAAAGGAAGTCAACTTCTACAGTGGCATCCTGCTACTGGCCTGCATCAGTGTGGACCGCTACCTGGCCATTGTCCATGCCACACGCACATTGACCCAGAAGCGTCACTTGGTCAAGTTTGTTTGTCTGGGCTGCTGGGGACTGTCTCTGATTCTGTCCCTGCCCTTCTTCCTTTTCCGCGAGGCCTATCGTCCAAACAATTCCAGTCCAGTCTGCTATGAGGTCCTGGGAAATGACACAGCAACATGGCGGATGGTGTTGCGGATCCCGCCCCACACCTTTGGCTTCGTTGTGCCACTGCTGATCATGCTGTTCTGCTACGGATTCACCCTGCGCACGCTGTTTAAGGCCCACATGGGGCAGAAGCACCGGGCCATGCGCGTCATCTTTGCTGTGGTCCTCATCTTCCTGCTCTGCTGGCTGCCCTACCACCTGGTCCTGCTCACAGACACCCTCATGAGGACCCAGATGATCAAGGAGACCTGTCAGCGCCGCAATGACATTGACCGGGCCCTGGATGCCACCGAGATTCTGGGATTCCTCCACAGCTGCCTCAACCCCATCATCTACGCCTTTATTGGCCAAAATTTTCGTCATGGATTCCTCAAGATCCTGGCCATGCATGGCCTGGTCAGCAAGGAGTTCTTGGCACGTCATCGCGTTACCTCCTATACTTCTTCCTCTGTCAATGTCTCTTCCAACCTCTAAAAACCATCAGTGAAGGAATATCTCTCCTTATAAGGAAAGAATAACCAGTACCCTGAGGTTGTGTGTGGAAGGTGGTCTGGCTCTGGACAGACACTATCTGGGTTTTGTGGGGACGCTATGGGATGTGGGGAAGTTAGGAACTGGTGTCTTCAATTGCCATGCCAACCTTCTGAGGAGCTGCTGAGGTACCTCCAAGGACCGGCCTTCGAACCTCATGGAAAGGAAGCACCGCCATTACTGCTGAATGCTGCATCTTTAACCCACTAACTGGCTAATTAGCTTGGTCACGTCGGAGCCCCGAATCTGACATTAGATGAGAGAACAGGGCTGAAGCTACGTCCTCGTAAGGGCTGGACACTCTGGTTGACCCTCTCGGGAGCATCTCCTCAACTCTGAGTGTTAAGTGTTGACCCGCCAGGCTGGTGGCTCTGTGTGCTCTGATCTGAGCCCATCTTGGGTGTGCTGCAGTGTCTGCTGGAGACATTGAGCCAGCCACTGCCAAAACATCGACCCACCAGGTGGCCCTGTGAGGAGCTGGAAACACGTTTCCCTTGGGGGTGGTGGGTGAACAAAGAGGAGGAGGGTGTGGAAGCCAGACCTATGCCACATGAATCCCCTTTACGCCCGTGACCAACGTTGCAGGCACATGTGCCGGCCACCTGCTGAGCCCCAGGTGGAACAAGACAAGCGGCCCTTAGCCCCACCCTCTTGCAGCTTCCAGGCCGGCATGGAGCATCAGCATTCCCAGAGAGCCATGCACGGTCACCAGTCCACTGGGCATTCTTAATAAAAATTCCTAATAAAATTTCTGTTCCACGCTTGTCCCCCTGGAAGTCTCCTGGGTGTGACAGCATTGCTGGCTGCTACTGCAGAAGAATGGGGGCAGCGCTTCCCAAAAAGGCGCCTCTCTGGGCTGAAGGGAGGTCTTCCTTGGGGCTTTAACTCCTGCTAGAACAGTCTCCTGAGGCACAAACTCCCGTTAGTGCCCATACCCAGGCCATGGAGGATACCTTTGTCCACAAGTAAAAGGAAATGCTCCTCCAGGGATCTCAGCTTCACCCTGAGGTGAACGTCATCTTCTGGGTTAGACCTTGTCTGGCTTCCTCAATTCTATGAGCTCGCCACTCCCTCCCCAAATGCTTTCCCTGAGTTGCGGTGTGCCCTAGGCTGTTTTTGCTCCTTGGAGACAGGACCCTGTCTGTTAGTTCACTCTACGTCCTTGGTGCCTGGAGCCTGTTAAATGCTCAATAAATAATGATCACAGGAATGAACGGATGCTGAAAAGACCACAGCTCATTTGCACACCGTCTGCTCAAAGCTTCTCTTGTCTTTCTTCTCCTGTTTCAGCTTCCTGCTGTCCACTTCTCAAGTTTGCCTTTGTGGTTTAGCTTCCTTCGATTTTTATCCATGTGAAAATGTCCCAAGTGAGGACTGACTGACGTCAGTGCTCTTCTGATGGCAAATGATAGAAATGGAAGTCAAAGTAGCTTAAGCAAAACAGAAGGTGTGGGTTCAGGATGTGTGGGGAAGAATCAGGGATAGCTTGAGGTTGGGAATGGGGTGAGGCTCAGAGACAGGACCTAGATCAAGGTTGAGATGGGGATCAGCGATTGATGTTGAAATCAGAGATGGGGTGGGCCCAGGGATGGGGTGGTAGCTTGGGATGAGGTTAGAGAAAGATGAATGCCAGGGATGGGGAGAGATCCACAAGGAGGGAGAGTGAGAGTCAGGGTCACAGTGAGGAGTTGGGAACAGGGAGATTCAGCATAGGAGCTGGGACCAGATATGGAGTGAGGCTTTGGAATGGGATAAGTGTTGGGGAGAGGTGAGGCTCAGGGAGGGGCTGTCATGCCTGGAAAGAATGTCGGGGAAGGGTTAGGAGCTATAAGGCTGGAGCAGAAGACGTCCCTGGTAGGGTCACTACCATCTCCGGAGCATCATCTAAGGTGCTCTTCCAGGGGCCAGGACGGAGACTCCTGAGTCTGTCCTGCTTGAGCCTGTCCAGGCAGGTGAGTGAGGAGGGAGTTAAGCACTCGAGCCCTAAGAGATAGACCTGATTCAGCAGAGAGGACAAGAAGAATGCAGAAGATGCAGAGAGAATCCAGGGCAGAAGGCTGACAACTGGGGCTTCTTTTCCCCCTCCTCCCTCTGCTAATCCCCCTTCCACCTCTCCTACTGTGTCCTCAAAGTCCAACTTCCTCCTTCTTCACCATATGCCCGATACGCAAAGATGACTCCATCAGGGGCTTCAGTAAGTAAGTTTGGATCCACAGTGGGTCCAGGGGGAATGCACATGACTCATAACCACGTGAAAGATGCTCAGTCTCCCTAGGAACTTGGGAAATGAAGCTCAGACAGCAACAAAATAACTCAGAGCTGTTTTATACAGGGGAGGGATATAGTAGACTCTTCAAACAAGTGCAACATTTTTCAATTAGATTTTTTCATGTTTATTTTTATTTTTAAATGAAACGGTGTCTTGCTCTGTCACCCAGGCTGGAGTGCAGTGGTGCAAACACAGCTCACTGCAGCCTCAACCTTCTGAGTTCAGGTGAGGGTCCCATCTCAGCTTCCAGAGTAGCTGGGATCAGAGCTGTGTGTCACCATGCCAGCTAATTTTTAATTTTTTTTGTAGATATGGGATCTTGCCACATTGCCCAGGCTGGTCTTGGAACCCTGAGCCCAAGTGATCTCCCTGCTTCGGCTTCTTAAAGTGCTGGGATTATAGGTGTGAGCCACTGCACCCAGGCTGATTGGAAATTTTAATGCAGCCTGTAATGTTCTGGGTATAGCTCAAGACACAAATGATTGGGATTTCAGATTTTTTAAAAAAAAAAAATGCCAGGATTTTGGTATTTAGTTAACAGTATATTGAAGTGTCAAAAACTGATGTTTCAATGACTTAGATAGGGTGAGGATTAGATGTCTGGTCAGAGCCAGGGAGAGTGTTTGCCCTAAGAAGCGACCCACTCATCCAGTATGGGGCTGGGACCAAGGATGGGGTGAATCTTAGGATGGGAGTGGGGGTCAGTAATGGGAGGGGTCAGGGATGAGATTGGGGTTGTACATTAGGGTGAGTCAAGAGACGGGATTAGGATGTAACTGCATGTTCTGCACAATGCTTCCTGATGTTAACATTCAAAAATTTGTTTTGTAGGCTTGGTGACAATGTTTGAGACTCTAAGTGAAACTGCCAGAATCTACTGTTTTCCCTTAAACAGTAGACTGGTCCTTCTTACCAATCTACTAACAGCAGTTGGTTCTTCTGACCAACCACAGCCTCTTACCACCCCTTGCCCTCCATCCTGTGGCCCATTCTTGTTAGTTCCAGCAAAAATCCTAACGGATAATCCACAATTTATGCCATGGAGCTAAAATTTGCCCCTTTCTCAGCAAAGTAGTATTTTCATAAGAGTCTTTCAGAGACTGAAAAATCTCATAGATGCAAATGAAGTAAAATGACAGTCTCCTTTTTGGTTTAAAGATCGTTCCAAAGATGTGTCTTCCTAGAGAAGACCACTCACCAAGAGACAGTAGTGGAGTTCAGTCTTTTGCTGTTTCCATGCAGAGGTTGGAGAGGCCACTCTGGGCTCCATCCAGAAAGCCACAAAGAGCTAACAGCGAAGCTCTCAGCACCGATGTGTTCTTCCAGCCTGGCATTCAGTTTTTAAATCCAAAGTCTTCTTTCCAACCTTCAGGGTAGAAATGAATCAAAGACATAATAAAATAAAAAATTATCAAAAGACGTTAACTCGCTTTTTTTTTTTTTTTTTAAAGTAGGAGTCTCACTCTGTGGCCAAGGCTGGAATACAGTGGCACCATCTTGGTACTGCAACCTCCACCTCCCAGGTTCGAGTGATTCTCCTGCCTCAGCCTCTCGAGTAGCTGGGACTACAGGCACCGCCACCATGCCCAGCTAATTTTTGTATTTTCAGTAGAGACAGGGTTTCACCATATTGGCCAGGCTGGTCTCAAACTCCTGACCTTGTGATCCACCTGCCTCAGACTCCCAAAGTGTTGGGATTATAGGCGTGAGCCACCACACCTGGCAACTCGACTTTTAAAGATGAAAATTTCTTTTTATTGTCTAAGTATTCTGTACACATTGTTGAAAAAAATGAAATGGCTTTATGAAGCTTATAACAAAAACCCGCAGCCCTCCAGCTCCAGTCCCTGTAGAAAAGGGCAGCAACCGTCAGCTCTCACAGCTGTTTTATCTGATAGTGATCTACATATTTCTAAATATCATACTTATTCTGCCAGTATTTTTTTTTTTTTTTGAGACAGAATCTCACTCTGTCTCCCAGGCTGGAGTGCAGTGGCACGATCTCAGCTCACCGCAACCTCCATGCTTCCTGGGTTCAAGTGATTTTCGTGTGCCAGCTGCCCACCACTACGCCTGGCTAATTACTGCATTTTTTTTTTTTTTGGTAGAGACAGGGTTTCACAGTGTTGGCCAGGCTGGTCTTGAACTCCTGACCTCAAGTGATCCACCCACCTTGGCCTCCCTAAGTGCTGGGATTACAGATGCGAGCCATTGTGCCCAGCCCTCTGCTAGTCCTTGTTGTTTTTCCCCCTCCAGGTTTAGGTATCATCATTGACTGTCTCTTTTGGCTTATGAGAATGTAATATTCTCCCAATCTCTCTCTTGCTTTCACCCCGGTCCAAGCAAACACAAATGCTGCCTTCTCCGTTCTCCAGAAACAGATACCACACTTTTTGGTTAAGTCAGCATTCAGTTTCTTTGTTGTAATGACTATGTAAAAAATTATTCACAGTTGGGTCCAATGTTTACACTTCCTTTCTTTGTGCAAGTTTTGTTTTCCCTGGAACTGATGAGAGTGTGTTCAATGTACTTATCATAGTATCAGTGCCAATATCTCCCTCAATACATTCACATTCATTGGATAATCTATTAATTTTTCTTTCTCAAAGATCTCTCTCTTGGAGTCCTTCGTTGTCTTCTTCCAACCTGGACAGGTGGCTCTTAGGAAAGAAGC